TAGAGAGGGAGCTCTGATGGGAGGGCAGTAGAGAGGGAGCTCTGATGAATGAGCTTTATCAGGGGATCAGTGATGAAATGGCTATGTTTAGGGAGCACTGATGGAAGGGCAGTATCAATAGAAACAGACCCTACGGTGCAACTTGTCCATGCTGACCAGACATCCTAAACTAACATAGTCAAATTGGCCAGTATTTGGCCGGTATCCCTCTAAACATGTCTTATCATGTACCGATCCAGATGCCTCTTAAATGTTATGTATAAGTCTCCACCACTTCCTCTAGCAACTCATTGTATACATGCACCATCCTCTGTGTGAAAAAGTTACCCCTCAGGTCCCTTTTAAATCTTTCCCCTCTCTCCTTCAACTAATGCCCTCTTTGGACTGCCCTACCCTGGGGAAAAGGCTATTCATCCTATTTATGTCCCTCATGATTTTATAAACCTCAGCCTCCAATGCTCCAGGGAAAATAGCCCCAGCTTATTCAGCCTCTCCCTATAGCTCAAGCTCGCCAAACCTGATGACAGTGTTATAAATCTTTTCTGAACTTTTTCAAGTTTCGCAACATTTTTCCTATAGCAGGGAGACCAGAATTGAACGCAGTATTCCAAAAGTAACCTAACCAATGTTCTGTACAGCCACAACATGACCTCTCAACTCCTATTCTCAATGCTCTGACCAAATACCTTCGTCACTGCCCTGTCTAACTGCGACTCTACTTTCAAGGAACTGTGAACCTGCACTCCAAGTTCTGTTTGTTTGGAAACACATCCTAGGCCCTTCCCAATAAATCTGTAAGTCCTGCCCTGAGTTGCTTTACCAAAATTCAGCATCTCACGTTTATTGAAATTAACCTTCATCTGCCAGTCCTTGGCCCCAGTAGCCCATCTGATCATGGTCCCATTGTATTCTGAGGTAACCTGCTTTGCCTTCCACTACACCTCCAATTTTGGTGTCATCTGTAAACTTACTAACCCATACCTCCTACATTCGCATCCATTTATGTAAATGACAAAAAGCAAATGGACCCAGCACTGATACTTGTGGTTTCCTGCCGATCGTAGGCCTCCAGTCTGAAAAGCAACCCTCAACCACCACCCTGTCTCCTACCTTTGAGCCAATTTTGTGTCCAAATGGTTAGGTCTCCCTATATTCCATGTGATCTAACCTTGCTAACCAGTCTGCCATGCGGAACCTTCTGGAGCACTGATGGAAAGGCAGTATTGAGGGTTAATTGATGAAGGGCAATGTTGAGGGAGCACTGATGGAAGGGCATTATCAAGGGAGCATCGATGGAAGGGCAGTACCAAGGGATCCCTGATGAGAGGGCAGTATTGAGGAAGCATTGATGATGGGCAGTATCAAGGGATAATTGATGAAGGGCAGTATTGAGGGAGCACTGATGGAAGGG